AGAGGCTCTTATTTTATATTCTAGCTTGTCAATATCCGTAATTTGAGTTTCTAATTCATAAGAAATTATAGACGTAATATTTTGACTTCACAGACATATAATATGAACCAGTACTGCATTCAACATACCACGTGACACACAAAAATCAGTGTTAATCAGTTATTTTAATATTTGCTTTTAAATTAAGAAATTGGGTAATATATAGTACTAAAATTTGAATTATAATCTACAGTTTGATACCAAAGTTATTGACATAAATTCATGAAATAGTAGTTCAATAAAGTTTTGAATGTGAGTCAACAAACAAGATGACATGGCCTTTTACCCGTGACCCGTCTCAAAAGGGTTAAGGGAGTATCATTTAATCTTATGGTAGGTTTTATTTGCATGCTCTAAACATACATAGTTAAGGGAGTGTCATTTAACTTTATAATAGGCCTTATTTGCTTTATCTACTATAGTTTAGCAGTAAATGTTTCAGAAAATGTCTTTTTTTCTGTTTACCATTGTATCAGTTTTTTACTATTAAACTTTAGTATAATAATACTGTCATATTAATGTGTGTTTAAAATTTTCACATTATTCATTTTACAATATGAAATTTGAAAATGAGTAAAAGACATGGTTATATGTATTCTAATATTTTTAATAATAATTATATATATATATATATGAATCTTTTTCAGAACTAGAACTGAAAAATATCATTGACAAACTTGCCCAGTTTGTTGCTCGAAATGGACCAGAATTTGAGCAGATGACCAAACAGAAACAAAAAGACAACCCAAAGTTTTCGTTTCTGTTTGGTGGACAGTTTTTCAACTATTACCAATACAGAGTAACTTCAGAACAGGCCAGTAAGTAACTTGACATTTCTTGTGAAAATTATTTTTAGATATTTGTAAAATGGAATTTTGTATTTTTTACTATAAATTATTTTCCTGCTCACTTATCTAAACAAATTTTACTTGTGTTGGTATGTATATTCCTTGTCTGTATGTATATAAAATCAGTTTCTATCTCAAGCGCAAAGAAGTCCAACAAACAAAACTTTTCTAGTTATTTAACAGAGTGGTTTTAAGAATATGATAAGGTTGTTAAAAATCACAATAATTTAAATAAATAAAATAAAGCCCCCCAGTAGAACAGTGGTATGTCTGCGGACTTACAACACTAAAATCCGGGTTTCGATTAAGCTTTGTGCTTGATTCCAAACAAACAAGATAAAAAAATAAATAAACATAACATACTTTTGTAAAAGGGTTTTTGAAATTGGTTTTTTTTTTTTTGGTGTGTGTAAAAATTGATTTTACATTTAGTGCTGCCTCATTTTGATATAGTTTAAATAGTTGTTCTGTGTATTTGTGAAAGTTCAATAGTTTTTAGGTTGATTATAACTGCAGTGTGATATCTCTCTGACAGCATGCTTTTCTTCTGTTTCACTTTATCATCTTATATAATGTATATATAATAAGTTAGTTGTCAGTCTGCACTATGGAAATTGTTCTGACCTTCATTCAGTCCATCATGCATATCAACTTGTTAATAACAAGACCATGTGATATTCTGTGTTTTTCTGGGGGTTATAGGGTTTTTCTTGATTATTTTTTACTAGAAATAGAGTACTCCCAGGAAACTGTTAGGTATTTCTCAGTATTAATATTTGGAAACTTAAACATTGTTGGTGGTAGAAACAAATGGATAGTTTAGTTTGATAACTCTGTTGTGGTTTCATTGATAGTTTAGTTTGATAACTCTGTTGTGGTTTCATTGATAGTTTAGTTTGATAACTCTGTTGTGGTTTCATTGATAGTTTAGTTTGATAACTCTATAGTGGTTTCATGGATAGTTTAGTTTCATAACTCTATAGTGGTTTCATGGATAGTTTAGTTTGATAACTCTATAGTGGTTTCATGGATAGTTTAGTTTCATAACTCTATAATGGTTTCATTGATAGTTTAGTTTCATAACCCTATAGTGGCTTCGTGGATAGTTTAGTTTCATAACTCTATAGTGGTTTCATGGATAGTTTAGTTTCATAACCCTATAGTGGTTTCATGGATAGTTTAGTTTCATAACTCTATAGTTGTTTCATGGATAGTTTAGTTTCATAACTCTATAGTGGTTTCTTGGATAGTTTAGTTTCATAACCCTATAGTGGTTTCGTGGATAGTTTAGTTTCATAACCCTATAGTGGTTTCGTGGATAGTTTAGTTTCATAACCCTATAGTGGATAGTTTAGTTTCATAACCCTATAGTGGATAGTTTAGTTTCATAACCCTATAGTGGATAGTTTAGTTTCATAACCCTATAGTGGATAGTTTAGTTTCATAACCCTATAGTGGTTTCATGGATAGTTTAGTTTCATAACTCTATAGTGGTTTCGTGGATAGTTTAGTTTCATAACCCTATAGTGGTTTCGTGGATAGTTTAGTTTCATAGCCCTATAGTGGTTTCATGGATAGTTTAGTTTCATAACTCTACAGTGGTTTCAAATCATGAATATTTGTTATTTCATAGTTATCAAACAGAAACAAAGAAGTGAACAGCAATCGATTGTACAACATGCCATCACTCAACAGTCAATACACTCTGCCCCTTGGCAGCAACCTCAGCCTCAGCAGCAACATAACGTTCAACAGCAAATCCAGGACATTCAGGAACAGATACGACAGAGTGAGCAAAATCTTGCAGCACAACATCAGGTCTTGATGCAGCAGCAACAGGTATTGTTAAACACTTTGTACACTATAGACAGTTTGGTAATGTATCATATGTATAATAGGGTTTAAATCTATTCATTACCTTCTTATAGGATTGTTATATAAATATCAGTAAAGTTGATGACAATAATAATAGACTAGTAGTAGCAATTCTGATATTGTAATGCTGAAGTTTGACTCTGATTCACCCCACTACACACACACACGCAGAGAAATATTTTCAATGCTTGTGACCTTAGTAAACGATTGTAGCCATGTTGTACTCTTGTCATGTGTAAATTCATTTATTTTTCAAGAACTATTTGTGCCAGATCTTTAAGTGAAGTGTCATAAAGAGCTTGTGACACACTCTTTAATTGCACATAATTACTTACACAAACGAGCTCATTTGTATATTGCTAATTTCCATAAAATTTTTAAATTTCACCCAAATTTCACGCCACCTGCTGTATTCATTATAACAAGTTCATATCACCATATAAAATGATTTTCTGTTGGTTTTGAGTGAGGAATATGTAAATAATTCTGCAAAACCCACTTTACTTTATTGTGTATTGCTGGCTTTGTTCCAATGGGAACGGTGAGTTTTTGGATAATTAAAAAATTCAAATATCCAGTTATATTTATGTCAGGTTTTAGTCTGATTTGAATGATAGCTTTTTTATAGCCTCCATTTTATTTATAGCGTCACATTACACATGTAACTGCTTTGCATATATATAATGTCTTTCACTAATAGTTTAATATCATTAAAACTGCATTTCACCTGAATTAAATTATAGTACCAAAATGAAAATGATGCCTAATGTTTCAAAACCTTTTATTGATTGGTACTTGGATTTAGTTAATCTTTCTCATTTATCTGCTGGTTCCTTAAAGAAGGCTTATCAATATTTTATACAACACGTAGGCAGTCAAATCACATGTGACAACTTCATGTATATATATATACCCTGTACTATGTTTTTTGTGGCTCCAAATGTAGTCTGGTCATTGGTGCATGGATGATTTTATGCATATGTCTTACTACATACATAAAACTGAGAGTGACAGTCGCATGCTTTGAACAAACTGGAGGCTGAGATGTAATAACCTACTCTGAAGGATTACAAGCTACCGTTGTCTGAGATCTAATAATCTACTCTGAAGGATTACAAGCCACTGTTGGCTGAGATTTGATAACCTACTCTGAAGGATTACAAGCAACTGTTGGCTGAGATCTAATAACCTACTCTGAAAGATTGCAAGCCACTGTTTGCTGAGATCTAATAACTGAAAGATGTACAATTACAACATATTTGATCAGGTTCCCACTTGTCTATAAGTAGTCAATTAGGAAACAGAATAGATACAATGTTTAGCATTTAATTTTACTTGAAAATCCCAATAGATGAAAAAAAAAACCTCTGGGACCTACCACAAAGTAATATGATGATCATACTCTTGGTAAGAAGATTTGTAAGTGAACAATGATGGAGGTGGTTGTTCTCGTGGATAGCTGAGTGGTAAAGCACTGGCCCTGTTATTCAGAGGTATTTTCATTCACTAGATAATATAACCTAATTCTTAGCAAATTACCATAGTTACTAATGTCAACAAATAAAATACACATTTAAGATACTTGTAATAAATATGAGTTTATTTCCCAGGTTCAAGTTGATGAAACTGTTCGAAAAATTATGGAAGAAAGAATCCATACGTTAGCTACAGAATGTGAGTTTAATCTAGAAGAAATGGACAAAGTAATCCAGCCTATTATTGAAAGTTGTACAAAAGATGCCATTTCTGTAAGTTGTACTACTACATTGTAATTCTGAGTTGTTTAGGTGTAAATGAAGGTTCCTTACCCCTCTTGATGTTACATAGTGAAAATTATGGTATTCTCACTTCTTTTTAACGCTTAATACATACAGCATGCTCTGTTATTAATACTTTAAATACAAGTCTAGTTATGTCTTCACATTTGTTATTTTTGAAATCCTGGAGGAAATAACTGTCTATGTTGAATATGTTAAAAACTGTAACTTTTATACAACCATTTACATCTTTTGACCTAATTTTTCTTCCTTTTTAAAGGGATAAGTAAAGCTGACATGTGTAATGCAAAGAACTAATATTAAATCTTGTGGTTAACTGCTTTTTACAATTTGTCTTGCTGCTCAGGCTGGAAAAGGATGGATATTTAATCATGCCTTCTCAGCGAAGGAAAATGAAGTCATAACCCAACATTTATTGAGAAAGTAAGGCCATTTGTTTCCTATTTTTAAATCTAAAATAAAAAATTTTAATGAAGATCATGATTTTTTTTAAACAAACTTTTTAAATTTTAGATAAACATCTTCATCAGATAAATGCTTTATATTTATAACTACCTGAACCTTATCAATGATTAAGTTTTATTACAATCCTCTGAAGGATTACAAACCTCTCTTCTATGAGATATAATAACCCACTTTGAAGGATTACAAACCAATAATGTGTCAGATATAATAACCCTCTCTGAAGGATTACAAGCCACTGTAGTATGAGATCTTATAAACTTCTCTGAAGGATTACAAACCAATGTTGTGTGAGATCTAATTACTCGGGAGGATTACAAGTCAATGTTGTATGAGACCTAATAACCCACTCTGAAGGATTACAAGCCACTGTTGTCCGAGATCTAACCTACTCGGAAGGATTACAAGTCACTGTTAGCTAAGATCTAATAACTCTGAAAGGTGACGAGGCTACTATTGGTTGAAGTCTAATAACTTCAGAGGATTTCAAGCCATTGTTATTTGAGATTTAATTACTCTAGAGGATTACAAGCCGTTGTTGTATGAGATCTAATAACCCTTTCTGAAGGATTACAAGCCACTGTTGTCTGAGATCGAATAACCCAAAGGAGCATGAAATAGTCTATATATAGACGTAATTTATCATGTATAGAGCTGGGTGATTAGTAATATTTGCTAATCTTATAATGGACAGACTCATTAATCAGTTACATTTGATTAATCGCTGTCATGGTAGTTCCCTCCCTCCAAAAAAAGTGGGGTGTGCTAGTTTCATAATTTTGTGAACTATTGAATTATCATAAAATGTTCTAATATTAATCTTCTAATTTTCTCCTAGTTTTGTTTTTTATGTAATTTTTTGATCACTCTTTTTGTAAAATGATAGATTTCTTCTGGAAGTCACCTTCAGTACTTATTGAGAAAAATATATTTTGATATGAATTTTTTAAAAAAAGATATCCTGGTCATTTGTTACTTTATGAATAAATATCTACTAGAAATGAGCATGCCACTACCATTTTGTTTGTTTTTAAAGTGCAGTAATCTCCTATTTGATCTTGTGTAAATCGATAATTAACTAATGAAAACATGTTTTACTATCATAGATAAGGATAAGAATATTTTTATTTAAAACACATCATTATTTTGATTAGAAATAATTAAGTAGCTAGTTAACTAGTTTATTTAAATATATTGATTGAATTAAAATTAATATTCAATGAAAATTTGAGTCACTAAATAGTAAACTTGCATGGCTTATGTGATTTTATTTGGTAAACATGATTAAAAAACTTTATGTTTACAGACATTGCAACTGTAAAACACTACAGTATATGTATTTAAAATGCTGTAATTTTAGACAAAAATCCAAACATCAACAAAATATCTTTATCAAGCCTTAAGTAATCTCCAGTCATGTGACATCTTTGTTTCATACTGTATATATATATATTTCTATGTCTTGTTAAATTACTTGTACCTGATGTTGACAAAACCTCCTCCAAACATTGTACACTTGTAACTGTGTTAAACTTGAAATAAAGTTTTCTTTGTTGCTCATTCAATCAATTTCTAAACTGTAAAACTTAACTTACCTCATGCTATTTAATCTCTTCTCATGGAAAAATCCTGTACCTTTTAAACAGATATAATTTAACACACAAGTACTTTCACAATTCACAAACAAAAGGAATGTTTAAAAGAAACTATAAAAAAAGCTCTTAAACCTATATATTTACTATTAAATGATAATATAATTCTTGCTCTATCCAATCATATCTAGTTTCTTTATAGCTGTTTTTCAAGCTGTGTTTCATCAGTAAATGATCAAACCAGTTGATGTGGCACCATTACAGGGTTTCCATCAAGGCCTATACAAAAACTAAGTGAAATGCTTGAAAATCATGAAATTTATAGCATATTCTTAAGAGGTGGTAGGATTTTAGTAAAAATTCATTTATTCTTTGAAATGGGCAGAAAATTTCTAAATAACAAGTGGGTTGTTCTTTATTTACAGGCAAAATTCTTTGCAGCTGTGCAGAAATGAAAATATGAATTCTTTTTTTAGTTTTTCTTTATAAATTACACTAAATAAATATCAGAAAATGACAAAACATCACTTCTAAAATGTTTTTGAGCTAAAATTGTTGAAATGTGGTTAGAATTAACATATAGAATTTATCAAGTGCCAGAAAAAAGCCAGAGGAAACCCTGTACAATAATTTAGAATTACTTTACTTTTTTATTCTAAACTTTGTACATGAAAGTATATCATACAACCTAACTGCATTGTTTAACATTTATAAATAATAAAAGATTTGTTCACTTATCAGTACACCTGCTGCAACAATACTATGTAAACTTTTCCCAAACTTGGTATTCCAAACAATTAGTATGGTTTTACATGTATATAAGCTTCTTTACGACAGTGTTGGGATCGTAAGTGTTGTATCTGTATGATACCAGTTAACAGATAGCTGTGTAACACTGTAAACAAATTTTTTAGATGAAAGAAGAGACTTCCATGATAATAATGTGGTATTTTTTTATTATTCAGTATCAATCATATAGTCCTAAAGTAATCTACATAAGTCAAACAAAGTTAAATAATGCTAACATATTCTGTAAATGATTATCTCAGGCAGGTTAGAATCCAATGATTTCAAAGCTTATATCTTTATTTATTGTAATGTGATTGATATGAAAATAAAAACAGTTAAAAATAAATATTTCAAATTTTTAAATTGAAATTAAATAGTTATGATTATTTATAATTATATTTAGAAAATGATTATAGGTTTGGTTTGTAAAGAAGATGCCTGTTATAAGTTGTTTTTTTAAATTATTATTTGTACAGTCATACCACTTGTATTTTCACATCTGCAATAGGAAAAATGTCCTTTTCAGGTTTTTCTAACATCTAAATAATTGGTTCTGTTACAAGAGCTGCAGGTGTTCCAAACTTTACTAAAAAAAAAAACCAAGGTACAAAAATTTACAAGTGTTTAATTAATGCTCATATTGTTGTATTAAGTTTTATTAATAATAAGTTATTGGATGAGGCCTTGACTGAATTGCTGTACACTTCAGCTGTGTTCATTTTGGAACACATCAAAAATATTTCATGGTAATTAATAGCCCAATCAAATAAAAACACTGACATCTTATGTTTATTTTAAATACCATATGGTAGTGTGAGGATGTCAAGCTGTTTTTTATTAACTTGTAAAAAAATGTAGAGTTGGGGGGGGGGGTCCAGACCACTACTCAAGATTCATACGTGCTTATAAAGTGTTAAGGAATGCAAATATTAATTTCTAGGACAAAATTGAGGGTGGTAGGGAGGGGGTCTAGATCCCTGCTTATACAACATTAAAGAATATAGTTACTCAGTTTTAAATTACAAATGTAATAGAAGTAAAAGTACAGCTAATCTCCGCTTTATTTAACAGTTAAGTAGCCAAACAATTGGTGGTAGGTGCTGCCAACCAGTTGCCTTCCATCCAATCAGCATTTCAAAATTATGTACAGTGGCAGATAGTCTTAGCAGCTTTGCCACAACAAAGACAGATGAGCAAAATTAGTGGCAATGGGAATTAAACCAGAGCCCCTCAAACACCCCCATTTCCCCCCATGCTGGCCAAAAACTGAAACAAAAATAAATAAAAAAAACAATTGAGTGTCCTTTTTTCATGTTGTGCTTCTTTAGTGTGTATGTGAAAGTGAAAACAAATCTCTTTAATTAAATAAAAACAGTGCTAATTGGGAATGTTGGATGTATAGAAATTTTTGTTTAAATTTTCATTTAATTTTAAACATAAATTTGTTACTTTTAATAAATGTTTTGTAGGTTTTATAATGAAGAGTAGCCTGTGATGCTACAAAACCTGTTAACTCTTTGAACCTGGGCTCGGTCCTGGGGACCAACCTCATAATCATTTTGTGCTTGTTATAGTTTTCATGCTATAACTTTTAAATCAGTAAGTGAATGTTAACAAAATTTGGCAGTTTATGAGTAAACATTACAATGCTTTCATACGCAAGGTATCAATTTTTGTATTAAGTTTTAAGATTTGTAAAGCAATTGTTCTCTCATGCCATTTTTTCTTTTCACATCTTGCCTATCTATTATGCAAAGTAATTTTCATTTTAAGGTTAAAAATACTTTTATGCATCAGAAAATTTTGAAATTTTACATACAAAATCTTTATAATGTCTGGATAGTTATCAAACATTTCTTAAGAAAAAATTTATATTTTATTTATTATTTTCAGTAATTAATCATTGTACGGGTTCAGTAAATTTGACCGATCTCACAACCGGC